GCGTGTGTGTGTGTGTGTGTGTGTGTGTGTGTGTGTGTGCACGCGCGCGAGTGTGTGTGCACAGGCAGCTCGGCTGCTGTCAGTTGTTCTTCCTCCCCTGGTCTCCTTCAGGGAGGGCTGCCAGCTGTGGCTCTGCACCGTGCAGAGTGCAAAGTCAGAGACAGGGCGCAGCGTTGGTGAGGTCAGCTGGCCTGGAGGTTGGCACACGAGGTTTAGTTTTGCTGCCTTGGCTCCAGGGAACACCCTTCTTGCTTCCAAAAGAGATGCAGACCCAGGAGGTGGTGGTGGGGTCCCAAATCAGCCCTTCTGCTGATGCCAGAGCAGGGAGCGGCCTGGCAGGGCCCAGTCCAGTGCCAGGTCCCCACGACTGCCTGCAGGAGGTCTCCTGCAAAGCCAGCTGGTCCCCGTGGAAAAAGGGCTACGGGGACAGTGGTTGCCAGTTCCCCTCTGCATGGTCACTGGGTCACTTGCCATCCTCTGCCGGCCGCCACTATGGCCCTGGACAGGGAGCAGGTGAGCGTCCTTACAAAAACAGTGCTGAGTCTGTTCCGGGTGGGACGGTTCCTGAGAGCTCCACCCTCTGCAGGGTCACGGGGTCACTTCCCCTCCTCTGCCGGCCACCACTATGGCCCTGGACAGGGAGCAGGTGAGCGTCCTTACAAAAACAGTGCTGAGTCTGTTCCGGGTGGGACGGTTCCTGAGAGCTCCAGCCGGGCAGGTGCCCGCGGGCCGGGGTTACGGCTGCAGACGCTCCAGGTACTGTGGCAGGGGGTTCTCCTTCACGTACTTCTGGATGTACCAGCAAGTGAGATGGGCCTTCAGGTCCTCCTCTACCACGAAGTCCAGGGCGGCCTGGCCAGGGTGGAGGGAAGAGCTGTGGGACTGGCTGCCCAGCCCACCAAGAGAAGGCTCCTGGCCACCTTGCCAGAGCTGCCTCCTGGTGGCCGGGTAACCCCAGGGTCTGGCCAGCTTCCAGGCTGGGCCTGTACACAGAAGACGAGATTCTCCCTTCACCAGGCAGCCCCATTCTCCCCAGCCTGAGCTGAGAACAGAGGGCAGGGCAGGGTAGGGGCCAGCAGGGGGCCCAGCCAGGTCATGAGCAGCCCTCAAGGGACTTTAAGGCCATTCCCTGCCACAGTGGAGTTCCGATTCCCGTCCTTAAGCCCAAACCTGCTGTCCAGGCAGCCTGGGGCTTAAGGTGCTTTGGGGAGGAAGGGGCGGCAGAATGGCAGAGCCAGCTCCCGGATCGTGCATCCATTTGTTCCTCGATGATCCACCCAGCACCTACAGGGCCGGGTGCTGGGACTGCCGCACGGAGCCAGGCTGGCCGGGCAACCCCTGACACAGCTGGCGTGTGGTGACCCTGGAGGCATGGCCATGCCAGGGTGCTGCAGACAGGTGCCTGTGTCCAGAGGAATGCCCCAGCTCCCAGAGGAGCAGGAGGGGATGCGTGCTAACTGATGCCTGCCCCACGAGACTGCGGGCAAGACGGCACGTGAGCCTATGCTTTGGCCAAGGCATGGGCTGGAGTTGGCCACTGGGTCATTGTCTCCTCTGAGTAGGAGGGCAGAGCCCCATCCCCCTACCCCTTACCTTGGCAAGGTGTTTGGCGATGCCGCGCCCACGGTAGGCGTCAGGGACCTCGGTGTGCTGCAGGTCCACGATCCGCTTGCCCACGTACTCGTAGAGCAGCACGGCCCGGTCGTGACATCCTGTGGGTGGGGTGGGGATGGGCAGCTGAACCTGGAGGCCTCCAGGGGCCCAGGGGACCCAGCGTGGAGGCCAAGGTGGAGGGACAGGCACCTGGAGTCACTCAACTGCTAGAGTCCTGACTAACCTCTCTGAGCCTCAGTGTCCCCATCTGTAAAGTGGGGAGATAATTACATTCCTCATCGGGTTGTGCAGAGCATCAGATAAAGTGATCCCTGCAAAACATGTGCATGCAGCTACGTCTGGGTCACACATGCCCACAGGTGCCCTAGCTACTGTCACAACCTCAGTGCCTGGGGCCCTGCACGGCCCTCTTCACACGTCCCCACCTGAGCCCCCTCTCAGAACCTGCACTGCTCACACAGCAAAGCTTGGCAAACCTGCAATGAAAGCAGAGGCCAGAGAGACAGAGAAGCAGCAGCACCCAGCCTGTCAGGACCAGCACAGAACCCACTGGAAATGTGGCGGGCAAGGCAAGAGACTGGGCCCCAGAGTCCATGAGAAACAGATACTGGACATGAGAAGCAGGGACAAACAGGTCTTCATGCCCTCCACCAGTCTACCCCAACCTTCTATTGCAAAAACATTCAACTAAAGTCTCTCTGACCATAGTTTAAGTTCCTGATCTATCTGTCCATGCATCCAATGATCCATCACCCTATCCACCCATTTTCTACCCAACCATCCATCCATCCACTCAAGCCACCCACTCATCACTCCATTCACTCACTCATCCATCCATCCATCCATCCACTCACCCATTTATCTGCTCACTCACCCATCTATTGATACATCAATCCATCCATCTACTCACCCACTTGCTCATCCATTTATCCACTCATCCATCTATCCACTTACTCACCCATCTATCCATCTACCAATTTATCCATCCATCCATCCACTCCTCCATCCATCCACTCACTCACCCATGTATCCATCTACCAATTCATCCATCCATCTATCCACTCCCCATCCATCCATCCATCTATCCATCCATCCATCCATCCATCTGTTCACTCACCCATCTACCCATCCATCTAACTATACTACCATTCACCCACTTACCCGTCTATCCATTCACTTGCCCATCCATCCACTTACCCATCCATCCACCACTTATCCATTCATCCACTCACCCATCTGTCCATCCACCTATTCATCATCCACTAACCCATCTACTCACTCACCCATACATCCATCTATCCATACATCCATCTACCCATCCATCCACTTGTCCATCTATCTACTCACTCACCCATCTATCCATTCACTCACCCATCCATCCAACTACCAGTCCATCTATCCACTCACCAACCCATCCACCCATCTGCCCACCCCTCTGTCCATCCACTCACCCACTCATTCATTCGCCCATCCATCAACCAACCAAGCAACCATCCAACCATCCATCCATCCATTCACCACTCATTCTACCACAAACCCCTCTAACCACTCACCCATCCATCTATCCATTCACCTGTCAATTCACTCATCCATCCATCCATTCACCCACCCACCCACTTACTCATGCATCCATTTACCCATCTATCCTTTCACCCACCCATCTATCCACTCAATCACTCATCCATCCATTCACTCACCTACCCATCTACCCTTCCACCTATCTGTTCATCCATCTATGAACTCACTCACTCATCTACCCATCCAATCATCTATTCACTCACCCATCATCCATCCATCCATCTATGAACTCACTCACCCATCTACCCATCCATCCATCCATCCATCCACTCATCTATCTATGCACTTATTCACCCATCCATCCATCCATCTATCTACCAATCCATCCAGTCACTCATCTATCTACTTACTCACACATCCATCCATTTACCATCCATTCATACACTCACCCATCTATCCACTCACTCAAACATCCATCCATTTACCCATCCATCCATTCACTTATCCATCCATCCACCCATCTATCTATCCACTCACCCAACTATCCACTCACTCACCCATCCATCGACCTATTCATGCATTCACTCACTCACCCCCCCATTCATCTATACATTTACTCACCCATCTAACTACTCACTCATCCATACATCCATTTATCCATCCATCTACTCACTCATCTATCCAGTCACTCACCCATCCACCCACTCACCCATTCATCACTCCACTCACTCATCCATCCACCTACCCATCTATTTATCCACTTGCCCATCCACCCATGCACTCATCCATCTACCGATCGATCCATCCACCTACCCACCCATCCATCCATCCACTTACCCATCCATCCACCCACCTACATTTTGATCCACAAACTCATCTATCCACTCACTCACCCATCCATCCCTACCAATCCATTCATCCACTCACCCGTCCATCGATTCACTAACCCATCTGTCCACTTATTCACCCATCCATCTACTCACCCATCCATCCAGCAATTTACCCATCCATCCATCCACTCACCCATCTATCCACTCACTCACCGATCCATCCACCACTCATCCATGCATCTACTTACTTCTCTATCCATCTACCCATCTATCCATCCACTCATCATGTACCTACTCACTCACTTACTCACTCACTCACTCATCCATCCATCCTCCATCTATCCATCCATCCATCCTTTCAACCATTCATCTACCCACCCACTCAGCCATCCATCTACTCAGCCACCCACCCACTCACTCATCTATGCATTCACTCATTCACCTATCTATCTACCCATTCATACATGCACTCACCCATCCATCCACTCACCCATTCATCAACTCACCAATGTATCCATCAATGCACCAATGTATCCACTCACTCACCCAACCATCTATCCACTCACTCATCCATCCATCCATCCATCCATCCATCCATCCATCCACCCCATCCACTTACTCACTCACCCATCTATCCATCCATCCATCCATCTGCTTACCCATTTATCCACTCACCCACCCATCTATACATCTGCTAACCCATCTATCCACTCACTGACCCATCCATCCACCATCCATCCATAGTCTCACCCATTTGTCCATCCACCTGCCCATCCATCTACTCACTCACCCATCCATCCACCACCCATCCATTCACTCACTCACCTATCCACCCATCCATTCACTCACTCACCTATCCATCCGTCCATCCACTAACTCATCTATCCACTCACTGACCCATCCATCCACTACAAATTCATCCAACAACTCATCAGTGTATCTACTCTACATCCATCCATCCATCCACTCATCTATCTATTCACTCACCCATCAATCCATCTACTCATCCATTCATTCATCTACACTCACCCATCTATCCACTCACTTACCGCATTCTTCCATCCATCCTTACACTCATTCACCCTTCCACCCATCACCCAAACACCCATTCATCTACTCATCTATCCATCCACTCACCCATTTGTTTACTCACTCGCCCATCCATTCACCCACTCAGCCATTCACCTACCAATCCATCCGCTTACCCATTCATCCACCCACCTATCCATCTTTCCACTCATCCACTATCCCATCCATCCATCCACTAATTCATCTGTCTACTTACTCATCCATCCATCCATCCATCCACCCACCAATCCATCCACTCACCCATCTATCCACTCACTCACTCCTCCATCCATCACCCATCATCCACTAACTCATCCATCCATCCAAACACCCATCCACCCACTCATCCATCTACCCATCCATCCATCCATTCGTCCATCCATCCACTCACCCATTTTTTCACTCACTCACCCATCCATCTACCAACCCATCACTCTACTCAGCCATTCACCTATCCATCCATCCATCCAGTCACCCATCCACTTACCCATTCATCCACCCACTTGTCCACCCTCCCATCCATCTACTCATCCATATATCCACTCACTCACCCATGCATTCATCTACCTAACCCTATCCACTTGCCCATCTTTCCATCCACTCACCCATCTGCCCATCCATCCACTCATCTAGCCACTCCCCACCTACCTCCACTCACCTAACTATCCATCCATGCACCCATCCACACACACCCACTCATCCAGTCATCCATTTATCCATCCAACCATCCATTCCTCTACCCACTTGTCTCCTACCTTCCCATCCATCCACTCTCCTATCTACCCACCCACTCACTCACCCAAGCATCCACTTACCCACCCATCCATCCATCCATCCATCCATCCATCATCATTCCACTCAACCATCCACTCACCACCTACTCACCCATCCATTCATCTCTTTAACGACTAATCTATTCACCCACCCACTAATCCATCCATCCACTCACCCATCCATCCATTTGTCCATTCAATGTTTCTAGAGTCCCTGGCACTGTTCCAGATACTGGGAACACAACAATGAACAAGACAAACAATGAGTCCTGTCCTTGTGAAATTGACCAGAAGGAGAGAAAGGTAACATCTGAAAATAAGGTGAGTGGGTGCAATGTCGGGAGATAGGGACTGGGTGGGGGAGTTGTAGTGGGGACAGAGACAGAAAAGAGAAGAGAGAGCTATGTGATATCCAGGAGAACAAAGCTCTAGGCAGAGGGAGCAGCCAATAAAAAGAACACGGCAGGAGTGGGCCAGTCAGGGATAGCAAGGAGCCAGGTGGCTGGAGTACAGTGGGGAAGGAAGGGTGGAGGAGATGTGAACTGGAAGCCGCTGAGAAAACCAGTCCAAGCAAAGTGCCTTTCTCTGTTTCATGCGCTTTAACTTTAGAGCTAAAAGTAAATTGCATTTCACAAGTTTTAAGTTTTTAAAAATACTTTTTCTTTCTTTCTTCCAGAGACAAAGAAAGGCAGCACCCCTGACAGGGTCTTCACACTGTAATCCAAGCCCCAGTAAGCCCCAGATCATGGGCACTCAGGGAGGTCTCTGGATGTGAACCCAGAACCTTCCCATGTGGGTCAGCTTTGCAGGGTGCCACATTACCGCCATGCCCCATCCAGCCCCACATGTTTTGCCTTAAAGCACCAGAGAACCTGCTCCTACACGCTGTCCAGCCTTCTGCCTGTGCTGTTATCACAAAGACTGCAGGCTGACAGAGCAAATGGCTGGCCCAGGTCACATGCAAGCTCACTGCATCAGGAGGGTTTCTGGTGCCCAGGATCGTCCTTCATTCCTTCAAAGCTCCAGGAAGGAGGCTACAGCCAGCTCCCCAGCCCAGATAGGAAACTGCAGTCCAGAGGTCTAAGTTACACAGTGAATGGAGGTGACTCTAGAACCCAGGCTTCGGCCCAGAGCCAAGTGCATCTTTTCATCCTACCCTGACCCAGCCTCTACTCTCACCTCCAGGCTGAGTCTAGAGTTCCCTCTACCTGGAATGCCCTCTCCCTTTGTCTGCCAGACTCAGCTGAGGGTGGCCCCGGTCCCTCTTCCCATGGGCTGATGGTCATTCTGTAGTGTGCCAGCCACCCTGGCTGCATAGCATAGGACTCGATCCTCGGCTCCTGCACCTGTTGGGGTCAGTTCAGTTCACGCAGGACAGTGAGGCCGAGATCAGGAGACTATTTTGGGACTGACTGGGTCGCCAAGGGAACAACCGCCTGCCCTGGCTGCTTCATCACCAAACCCATCGAACGCCTGCTCCATTCAGGTAGAGTTTGGGGTACTGAGTGGGCAGCAGTGAACACCCCGACATCCATCCATCAAGGAGGGCCTGTTCTAGTGAGAGACAGACAATAAATGACATCACGGATAACCGAGGACTAGCAGGCGACGGGCTGCCATGTGCAAAGGAGCACCATGCTGCAGAGGAGGGGCGGGGTGGTGGACAAAGGAGGCCTTTCTGCACCACAGACCTGGCAGAGAGAGGAGCCAAGAGCAACCCTCAGGGACAAGTAGTCCAGGTGGGAGAACAGCATGTGCGAAGGCCCTGGGGTAGAAAGTTCAAGGAACAGGAGACCAGAGTGGCTGGGCCTGAGTGAGCAGGGGGGAGTCAGGAAGCCATGTCAGGGTATCCAGGGCCCAACCACAAGAGCCTTGCAGGCCACTGAAAGATCTCACTTGTGCTCTAGCTCCATCTCTGCAGAGCGGAACCGGGGCCTCGAACCCCTGCAAGCCTGCTGGTGCTCCCTGGTCGTCCATTCGTGCGTTCCCTGTCAGTACTCCTGGAGCAGCCACTGGACCGAGGATGGCCTTGGCCCTGGGACACCTCGGGGTTCTCTGTCCCTCTCTCCCCAGTGGGTCATCACCATGTTCCTGCCCCCAGCTAAGGTGGACCCCCAGGAAATACTTGTCCAACTAACCACTGCTGTGCTCTCTCTGCCAGACACACCCCAGTGCTCGAGGCAGCCCGTGGGCCATGGGCATGCTCAGCACGATGGCTGTCCCCACACCCAGGCCTGTGCCTTTGGGCCAGTGGCTCCCAGGAGACAACAGGAAAGCTGGAGTGCCCACCTGTGAGGCCGCCCACATGGGACAGGCCAGCACTCAGCTCCCTCCACGCTCCCTCCCTCCTGGTTGAGCACGTATGATGCCTAAAGCCCCGGATGGGGTCACTGATCGGGGAGGCAGCACTCGGCTCAGGTATGTGGAGCTGGCTGCAGATGGGGCTGGGCCACTGGGAGGGGCTTCAGGATGAAAGGGGGCAGCGGGCCTCTGGGATAGCCAGGGTGGACGTGGGACAATGAGTAGCGCAAGATTAGTTTAAACTCACACCCCACCTGCTACACCACACGCCACTGAGCAACCTCGAAGTGCCAGGCCTCAGCCTAAACCTCGGCCTCGGTCACAGCTGGGCAGGTCCCCACTGCCCAACTCCCTTCCCTCCACAAGTCGGCCTGGAGGACACCAGCAAGCAGGCCTCCAGCTCAGATCTGATCCTTGGCAGGCCGTGGGCTGACTCTCCGGCGTGCAGTGTCTGGTCATGGCTCGCATGGCGCTGCTCCCCACGGCTGCTCCCTCTGCCTGGCCCCGCTGTGCCCCGAGCCTGCCAGGGTGGCCTGCCCTGCGGAAGCGGGACATTGGGCCTGTGCCCTCCCCTCTGGGCCTGCTGATACTGCTATCTCAGCTCAGGACATGCAGCCCTGGGCCCTTATCTAGGCTGGGCCCTGACAGCTGCCCTGAGGGCCCACACCCCAGGCTAGCACAGAGGCCAGCGTGTGTCACCCTAAGCCCCAGGAACAAGCCCAGGGCAGGGCCAGGCCCGAGTCTTCGCTCTGCCCAGAGATATAAAGCTGTTCCCACCAGCCCTGTGTCCCTGTCCTGAGATGGCCACTGCCCCCTCCCCCCTCCCAGGCTTGAGAACTACATCAAGGTCACAGAGTATGATTAGATCTTAAGAAATGGTAAATCATGGGCTGGTGGGTAGCGTGGTGGCTAAGGGCACTGGATTCCCACATGGCCAGTCACGGTTCAAGTCCTGGACCTGGAAGCTTGCTTTCTCACACACTCTCTCTGGTCAAATTACAAATAAATAAAGTTAAATAAATAATTATTTTTAAAAAGTATTAACAGAGACCGGCAGTTGGTGTAATGGCTATGTCGCTGGACTCCCATGTGGTCGACCACAGTTCAAATCCTGGACCCGGTGGCTGAAACTCATGTCAGCCATGTGTGTGCATGCCCAAGATCCCAAGAGGAGAATGGAGGAGAAGGGATTGCGGCGTGGCCATTCCCCTGGGGGGCGGGGTGATTTCTCACTTTCTGTCTTTCTGGCGAATGCACGCACCCTATAGCAAAACCTCTCCCCACCAAAATAATAAATTAATAAATAAATAAAAAGAAAGAAATGGCAAACCGGGGCCAGCAGATGGCATAGTGATTACGTCATATGTCCGACTGTGGTTTGAGTCCCAGGCCTGGTGGCTTGAAACTCATGCTGGGCGTGTGTGCATGTGTGTCCAAGATCCTGGGAGAATGGAGAAGGGATTATGGTGTGGCCATGCCCCATGGGGGTGATCTCTCACTTTTCCTCTTACTGTCTCTCTCTCTCTCTAGCAAGATCATGTGCCCTAAAACAAAAACCTCTTAAAGAAAAAAAAAAAGGAACTGGTTACTCTACTAAGGAGGGACACTTCTTGGGGTCTCTCATCCCAGGGCTCTCAGTCCCTCCCCAGCCTCGGGGGGGGGGGAGCAAATCTAAACGCCACCCAGATGAGGAGACGGAGACTGAGGACAGCCAGACCCAGGTCCAGGAGCGTGGCCCACACCAAGGGTAGCAGAGCAGGCCAGCCCGGAGCCCCAGCCTTCTGGGTACCTGCACGCACTCACAGCAGGTCACTTCCCAAGGACCTTGCTGGGCCAGCCTGACAGAGCTGGGAGGCACATAAGGACGAAACCCAGCTGATCTGCAAAAGACTGCAGACCCAGCCTGTGCTGCTGCACACTCCCTGTGTGGCAGCATCGTGGGGCACCTGCAGGGTACTGGGGCTCCGGGTACCTGGGGTCCTACGAGGCACTGTGGGGTCACACGGGGACTGGGACCTGACCCCCGTGAAGCTTGGTGCTACACTCGCAGCCCTGCTGCCTTTAGGGGTATTGACGGGGCCAGAGGTAGCTGCTCTCTTCCTGTCTGCAAAATGGGGGCTTTGGAAGATGTGGAAAGTTCCAGGATTCCGGGACCCTGGAGTGATCCCACTCCTCGAAACAACTAGGACACTGGACCCTGGGCCAAGGAAGAGGCTGCTCGGGGGATGAGGTCTCAGCTGTCTCCCAGCTGTGTGCCTCGGTCCCCCCACACCGCGGTGACAACACAAGCAGATGCTTCAGAACCTGGACTGGGGTCCTGCCTGAGCTCACACCCCCACGCCACAAGTCCTATCCATGCTTCCGTCCACATCTGCCCGGGACCTGATGGTCCTCCCCACCCTGCTCACACTGTGCAGCAGCACCTGCCTGCTCTGCCCTGCCTGCTGTGCTCGGAGCAGCCAGAGGAGGCCCGAGCCATCCCATCAGCTCTGCTCAGGACCCTCCGGGGCACCCACCTCTCTCAAGTCAAAGTGAAGGCCACACGATGCTTCCAGGCCCCCGTCTGCCCTCATGGCCTTCGACCTCATCCTCCCGTCCTCTTCTCTGGTTCTGGTTCTGGTTCCTCCACTCCCTGCAGCTCTGAACCCACACTGGGCACCCCAGGCCTTAGCTCGCGCTGCCTCTCCTGTGGGACTCTGTTCTGCAGCTGCTCTCTGCGGGCCTCCCTCAGGTCTTTACTTAGATTCCACCTTGGGGAGGGGCCTTCCTGGACACCTGATTTGAAGCAGCAGCCTTGCCCGCTGATAGCCGCCCCGCGGCCGCGTCACTGTGCACCAGAGCCTGTCCAGCGTGCTCTACAACTATCATCCAGTCCCTCTCGGCCGACAGCCCACAGCTC